CCCCAAAACCCCAAAACCCCTTATGCTTAAAAGGCAAACCAACGACTATTGAATAATATTAATAAATAATTTAAATTAGTAGGCATCATATTTTGTCATTTAGCGAAGTTTTGAAATACATACTTGAGTGACGAGTGAATTTATTACTCTAGATTCCAGAATTTTTTAGAAATGATGGAGACATCACTGGATATTGAGGTTTGTAGTCAATAGGAGTATTTTTAATGATATCTTGAGTATGCTAGATTTATGTCCTAATAGCAGCAATGTCCAAGCTGTCATCGAAATTTCGTATCTCTTATTTTAACTTGTTTTCAAAACCCTTGATCTGCTTCACCTCTTCAATTGATCTATCTCTTTCTCTTTATAGATCCTATTATTCTCTTAGCCACTCTAACTATTCTCTAGTAATTTTCCTTTTAGGATCTCTAATCACTGCCTTGGGTTCAACGACATTCTTTATATCATGTACAGATTATCTGTAAGGTAGCATAGAGGTTAAGACTTGAGATTGTATCTCAAGTTTTTTGTGAAAAGTTTTGGTTGAAGAATTCCTGTATAGCTAGGCTTAAGTATTATTTACAATTTTACCTGTATAATTAAGATTATTTGCTTATGTGTCTCCTAATTTATTGGTATAAGTGTTATTGTTAATGTTGTTAGGAGAGTCTATTACCAATTTATTTGTCTAACTGTCTACAAATATCTTATTCTGTGTCTAAAATCTTGAACTCATCATCATATCTTTATTCATGCTGTGAACTATAGATTTCGTTGAAGTGTCTTCATCAACATCTATCGTATTAAAGTTCTTAGTATGAGGTAGTATTGAATGAGACTAGAGATGATTTTGATTCATATTTTCATATTGATTGTAGTTAAATCTTTTATAAGGATTTCCCAATGTCATGTTTGCGGAATTCTCTAAGATTTTTGAAGTTTTAATATCTTGCATTGAATTCCTCTGGATCCCCATCATTTATTCATACTTCTGTAGCTTATAAGCATTATCTTTATCCCTAGTTGGCTTAGTCTTATCTGTATAGTTGGTAAACATCCCCTGCTTTATATTAAATGCTTTAGGTACTGTTCCAATCATTTTATAATAATTTTCTCTCAATTTAGAGTAGCTATCTATTTCTATTGGTGGGGGTTACACTTACTTTTCAGTATTAGTTATGCAATCATAAAGGGGCACTTTATCTAATTCTATCTTAACCTAGTTTTACTTGCCCTTCTCATATTCGTGCTTGATATTAAAATCTTGGAAATTTTTAAATGACGCACTTATTACCATCTCTCCATCAAATTACTTGTGCTCTTTTGGATCCAAGCTTTGCATTATAGTAGGTTACATTATATTGTTTTCATCTGTTTTGATATGTTTAGCATGCTTTAAAAGTCTCATGCTTGCTCTTAATTTGTTATCTTTTGGGAGCTCCTCCTCATGGAACATGGGATTTTAGATCTTAGATAAAGCAGATTTAGTTGTGAATTATTAGCCATCTTTGTGAATATCACCCATTGATAGATTCCTTCCCTTAGCTAAACTCTAATTTTACATTCCTAATGCTGACTTGCTGCCTTATTAGTTTGTATCTATTGCCTGTTTTAGTTCCTAATTCTGCTATTCGTGTATCTAGGCATGCTTAGCAATTTTGAAATTAGTGATAGACCTTTTAATGTGATTCTCATCATTCAAAGGGTTATGCTTAGTTGTTGAACTTATCAGCTAATTTTCATGTCTGAAATAGTCTGGGAATTCCTATGAAATACCAACTTTCTAATCAGGATAGCATCTCTTGCCTGTTGGCTTTGGCTCTGGAGCATCTTATATTATTACTGAGTTCTTGCCTTTGAAATAGTCAGGAAAATCTTTGGAGTTTGAGCCTGGTATCATTTTTTTTATCTTTATAATATATTCCTCTTAGTTTATTCAATAATACTGCTGCTTTAAAATAATGCTTTTATTACTAGCTTACAACCTTTTTAGTACATAGGGGTTTTGGGGTTTTGGGGTTTTGGGGTTTTGGGG